CACTCACAAACTGGTGCTCTTTTGAGTTGGTCCCACAGCATACAAATGGCTGTACACAGAGGCACTGCTTGTCAACAGGCAAGGCAGGCAACTGCTTGGCACCCCAGACCAGTATGGGGCCCCTGAAGGCTCACAAACTTAAATCAAAGCAGTGGCCCAAAATGTGCAGTTTTGAATTGCAGTAGGAAACCTCCCTAAGGGGGCCCCCATCTGACAGCACTCACTCTCGTTGCCCTGCTACGCGCTGCATTATTGCTTTGAAAACCAAAGTTTGTCAATGAAAGTCAACAAAGAAAATGAAGGTGGTTCTTATAGCGTTCTGAAAACTTTTTGCAATAACGTTCTGAAAATGTTTTGATATAATGTTCTGATAATGTTCTGAAAACGTTTCACGATAATGTTCTGTAAACGTTTGGCGATGACGTTCTGAAAACGTTTGGGGATAAGGTTCTGAAAACGTTTGGCAATAATGTTCTGAGAACGTTTGGGAATAAAGTTCTGAAAACGTTTGGGGATAACATTCTGGAAATATTTCAGGATAGCGTTCTGAAAATGTTTGGGGATAACGTTCTGAGAAGGTTTGGGCATAATGTTCTAAAAACGTTCTGCGATAACGTTCTGAAAACGTTTGGGGATAATGTTCTAAAAAGAAGTGGAATTATGTGTCTTTACCGTCTTTAGGAGAGAGGGCCCCGCAATAGATTTTTGCCTATAGGGCCCCACCAGACTCTGGAATCACCACTGGCTGTACAGTCCACCTCAACATCCTACAGCGACCCCCTAATCCCCCTGAACCTACACCCTCATCATAGCTTGAAATTCAGTTTTAGCTTCAGCTCCGCTGTTTGCAACCTCTGTGATTCTGTCCTGTTTGAGCTTACATAGTCGATCATTTCCTTTCCCTCAGTCACAAGGATTTTCACATCGGGTATCAGTTATATCTGAGTCGGTTCTCTTGCCCACTTCCATGGCTGCACATGTGTTGGTTTGCTGTGATAACTGGTCTTATATCCAACCAAAACGAGGGGTGCGGGTGCCTTAAAACAGCCTACTTTATCCCCAGTCAAAACAAATGAAGACCATTCAGGCCTGGAATTGAAACTTAGAGGGAGGACATACTGACTGCTGCATTGCTGTCAGAGAAGCGAGCACTTCAACATCGCATGTTTCCTTAATGTATGAAGATATGGCAAGGTCATTTTATGATTTCATTCAGTAGATATATTTTATAGGCCTATTGCTCCTTTAATATAATGCACTACTGTGAGGCCACAACAATCATAGAGACAGGCCATTACCTGCTGTCTCAATAGCTGGATCTGCTTCACTATTACTAAGAGCTGCATCATTCCCTTAACGTTTAATTTGCTTTTCCGACAAAGTTTAAATTACCACCTCATTTATATAGGAACTTCTTAATGAAAACCCCTTTCAATTGAAAAACTGAATTGATATGTTGCATCACCTGCATCCTCTTCCTATTTAACAGATTAACAGACTTTTCTCTAGTTTGCTTCAGTCTAAATGACAGAATATTAAACGGTCCTTAAAACTCAAGATATTAAGGTGATTACAGTTTGCTTTGGAGTCAAGAGATTTAAAACTGAAAATATACACATTGTCTCCCTCTGGTGGTGAAATGTTTTTTGACCTTTGGAATCCATAGACATAATGCAATTCATTTATTTCAAGGTGTTCTTCCTAAGCATTGAAACATCCTTTGAAGATACATATCACTGATTTGCATCAAATAAAGTTCATTTACATAAAAAACTATGCTCTAGTCAGATTTGAATTACACAAACTTGTTTTGTCTGCACTAAATCAAGTAAATTTAAAGCAATTTTATTTGCACAGCACCAAATGATTAATTAGTTTGCTCAGAGGGCTCAGCAAGCTATGTCACATTTAAAAAGCTTTATCTCTATAACCTTGATTTAGATCAGGAAAATCCCCAAAATTGGAGAGTAAGAAACAACTAAGAAACATTTAAAATGAAAACCCCTCATGGATAAAGAGGCATGATTAATTATCTATTTAAATATAAATCAAAACCACTTACTTGCGATTTAAAATAACAAGAGCACAAAGACAGCAATGAAAAAATGCAGCTCACTTTTATTGTCATGGAAATGTATAATTCCCCCGGGTTGCGACACTCACGAGGGTCAGCACCTTGGACAGAGGTCGCAAATACTACCTTTGCAAAAGCACAAACATCTGAATCAATGATCCTTCACCCTGGACCATCAGGACATGTCACGTAAAGCTGCATGAGTAGTAACTATCCTCATTTACACTTGGTGACTCAACACAATGACAGATCTACTCATAAGAAATACCTTTTGCTTTAAATTAGTGTGATTATCTGATTCCCCAGCTCAACTGTGTGCATATTCCTATGTATGTCATACTCTCAAAGCTTTTGTAGTTACAGTCCAAAGGAAAATACAAAATGCAAACATACAAAGGAGGAGTCAGAGCAGACAATGGGTTTGGGTTACAGCCATACATAGAAAAACATTCAGGAACCTGTCTTTCAAACCTGAAACAATGAGGCTTTCCAGTAGAAACATTAACACATCAAGACACATTGTTGATCAAAATCAGATCTTTTCCAGATTTCTCACATACAGATTTCTCACATTTCCCAAAAAGGCTATTTGTGTGGGCATTGTGCAATTTGTGGATGGGTTATCAGATTGGCTTGCCACTTTCCTTGCTGACAGACCTTGTAATCTATCAGCACACATGTTTGTTCTTGTCTCTTACGTCACTGAGACAGTTGTCTTTTGACGAACTAATAGCGAAAGTTGAATGAGTCCAACTGGAGGTAGTCGGAGGCATTGGCAGAAGTTCCTATACACAGCAAGGTGAATGGCCACATTTGGGGATTTAGCCTCATCAACATGTTCTGTAACATGTTTTGTGTTGAACGTTACTTTGATCAAAAATCAACAGCCACAGAAGTGGACAACATTCAAATAGTCGCACAGAACTTTATTGGCACACTTTTATACATGGTGTAGTATTCCCAAACTGTGACTGTCTGTCACTGTCTGGTTATTCTAAGAGTCATGCTTTTTGAAATTGCCTAAATCAAGGTGAAAGCATCAAAACAGGCCTCCACACAAAAATAGAAAATATGGGGCACAGGTAGTGGTGTGCTATTCCCTTTCTCGTATGTAATTCCCCACTCTGTACCCGATTTCTGACTCTATCCACCGTCCAATCTCCAAATAAATGCATAAATAAAAAAGTGTTATTGCTTGATTGTTTCCTCAGCTAAATTGGCAGTTAAGGTTTTCTCTTTCATTCATTTTCTCAAAACTTAGCCTACTAAAACACAAAACTGTAAATATTTCAATTTTCATGAAAAACAAACACTTACGCCTCCATTGGAGGTGCAAAGACATGAACAGTTCCATTCTTGACCTTTCAATTTACCATTTCCTATTACTTAACCTTCATTACTGTCCTTATCGGCTTTCTCAATTAAATCATTGTGAAATAAAAAAAAACATTTAATCAGGCATTTCATCAGACAACTTAAGCTCAGGGCATTAAACATGGGAAATAAAAACATATAGCCTACAAAGATATATATTTTTATAAACCGGAATATTCAAACAGCAACTTTGTGCTCCTGAGATATCTTACAAACTTCTGCTGTGTCACCGTCAGAGGCGTCACTTCCAGTAACTGCAATATTTCTTAGCCTGTTTTTCCAGATGTTTCTGGGTCAGAAAGTTTAAACGTTGGGGATAAACAAAGGAGGGTAAACGCAACATCATTTATTAATGACAGTAAGAGTGTAACTCACATCCGGTTCAGCTCCCAAATCAGCGCTCCCCCACGTTGTATGAGTACGTCACAACAAACCACAAAAAACTGGCAATTCCTGATGGCAGGGTCATTAAAATCATCATCATTAGTCATAATCAGCAACCTTTATTGATGCCTCGAAAATCATGGAGGTTTCTTTCATTTATGATGTCGAGGCACAAAAACGTACTATTAGCCTACATCGACTGAAACTCCAAAGAAACATACAAAAACAACAAAAATATTTATAGAAAACAATTACACACTGAGGTGTTATTAACACATAGATAATTGATTAGTGTGTCGATCTTAAGAGTATGGCTACATTGTAAAACATCCCACATGTTCTGCGCAAAGACGCAAAAAGCGGTCAGAAAACAAGTTTCTGACTAAGCTTGCTGATGAAGACGTCAGTATGATATTTAAATGATAATATTTCATTCAAAGATATTTGTACACTTTTACTCGTTCAATATTAAATCCATCCAGTGTGAATAATTGTAGACTGTCAAAAGATACCTGGCCCTGAAAAAATCGTGCATTTTGTTTTGTTGCTATTATGAACAAGTGCATTGTGAAATGATAATTATATTAGCTATACAGAATCATCAAAACAATACAAAATATTGCCATCTGCGTACAGGTTGATACTACTGTCGGTTATATGGTAGACAATATTATTGATATAATTGGTAAACAAGACAGGGCCCGGAACTAACCCCTGTGGAACACCTTTTGTTATTGGTCGAAACTTGGATATTTTTTTCCAGCCTTTACACACTCATCCAAAAGGTAGGAGCCATTTACAAGCAGTGGAGTCAAACCCAATGTTAGAGAGCTTCCCGATGAGAAGGCCATGATCAACCCTATTAAAAGATTTTGACAAATCAATCAAAACTGCATCACAATGTCTCTTCTTGTCCATGTCCGAAACAATATCAGTAACACTAATGTGACAACAGAGGTGGTACTGTGCATGGGTCTTAAACCAGGCTGATGAGGGATAAAATAACTAGACATTTGAGAGACATTTGTTTTGAGTTGACTTTTTTCAGTGATTCTAGTAAATCTGTCATAGAGCCACTTTCACTTTGGGCCAGTATGCAGGCGCCTGGTAGAGAAGAGGGAGGGGAAAGTTTGGGATTTGCACACTCCTGAATGAGCAGTGCGTTATTAATCATTGAGTAGTGCGTGTACGCACTCAGTGGCTGCTTCAGTTTTCTTGCGCACACAGTTTCCTCCTCAGAAAGTTTAATGGCTAAATACAACTTCTGCCGGGTGAGCTGCTTTATCTTGGCTGGATTAATCAGTACCGTTTCTCTCGTCTTTTTCTGCATCTTCTGGTTTGTGGACGGAGGATGTCCCAACGGCAGTTTCAAGCACGCGGCTGTGGCTGCAGACTCTCTGCGGTGCTCACAGATCGGCAGGTAAGTCACCTTGTTGAACACTTTCTTCCGTTGAAAAAAGTTCGTTATAATTGGGAGAAGTTAGTGCTGACTCTGACGAAAGATTTCCCTCAACACTTTCAACATTATACTTAAGTTGTTCGGGACTCTTCAGGCTATCTGTTCATGTGGCAGAGATAAAAAGCTGAACTGAATGGGATAAGCCGTTTAAGAGATTTGATAGGCTGTGTTTGAAGAATGAAGATAATACCTGCAGAAGTGTGTTATACAGGCTGTGATTCTACTCACCCCTTGTTTATGTATAGCCACTCTCATTTGTTTGACATGATTGTAAGATTTCCCAACCCATTCACTGATGTTTATCTTTAATGTGGAGTGAATAGACTTGCCTCTCTCTATCTATGATGCAGTCATTGTTCAGTGCAAGTCACAGCAGACTCCATAAATCTTTCATCAGAGGGACTCTAAATTTAGGAGAAAGGTGATTTCTCTTTACAAGAATGTGCGTGTACTATAGCTCTTCCGGCTTTTGTATTCAGGTGCAGACAGGGTGTCTTTCTTTTCCTTTGCACTGCCAAGATTTGTCAGGGGTTAATTTCCTCACAAGACAATGAGCTTCATGAAGCATCAGGCAACATGCTCATCTGAAAGGGCCTTTAAAGAACACACTAGGACCTTGTTTAAATCGATGCTGATATCTGAAGAGGAACAACATGATTAAGTGTTATAGAACACCTTCACATGTAACAGGAGTTATAGAAAAATAAAATATACTCTGGTCAGATAAATAGACAGTATATGAACACTGTGTTTAAGCAGAAGTATTCAGTTATAATCCCTCTTATTGTTAAAGAAAAGATAGAATCAAATCTAATATTATTTTCTCATGAATTTATACAAACCATTATCTTCATTACTGTATTGAAAGCTTGCTGTCAGTCTGAAGTCTTGCCTGTTACCTCTGTACACAATCCACCTTTCACAGATTAATACATTTACTACGTCTTCATAATGACATTAAACTGATATCAACTATTGCATTTGTTGTTCTTTTTAATCAGTCTACATGAGACTCCTAATTTATTTCATCTGATTCAATTTGGATCAGTCGATCTTTTCCTCTGTTCAACCCATCAAACGACAAAAGCCTCGAGTAGACCTGACCTTAACTGAACCAAAACATTCCCACTCCTTTTCCCCCTCTTATTGCATCTGAATCCATGCCAGCCTCTTAGTTGAAAAGAGCTATTCAGAAGCTCCCTGGAGACTGTTCAGAGTCAAGCTTACGGGATCTGTTATAATATACCTATTATGTAATTACATTGGAAACGCCTAATTAAAGCTTATGAGTTGTAAATTTCCAAGTTGTCCTTGAGAATCATGCCTTAAAAAGGCTCTGTATACCATGGCCAGCGACTTCCTGGTATGATTTCCTGAAGTCTGAAGCATCAGCATGTGGGGTAAACTTGCTTCTTGGCAGGCTGATACTCTTCAAAGACTACCCCACACAGCAACAAAATCAATGTGCACATGTGTATCTGAGGTTGGTAAATAGTTTAAATGTGTGTTCCCATAAATTTAATGACTATGTCTTTACAGGAACATGCTGCAGCAGGGAGGGTCAGCAGTAGATGGCGCCATTGCAGCACTTCTGTGCACGTCTGTAATCAATCCTCAGAGCATGGGGATTGGAGGGGGGTCTATATTCACTATTAGAGATAAAACAGGTGGGTCCTCTCATTTATTTGATGACGATTATGATGACATTTATTTAAATCCATAATCTTAAGTCTTTGATCTCTGTATTATTTCAGCGGGTCTCTGTGTGCTGTTTTGATATGTACAGTATTGGATTGCTTTTTTGTTAAAAAAAATCTCCCCCTAAATGTTATATGAATATTATATATTTCTGTAGAAACAAACCTTTTTTATTTTTTATTTTGTAAGTATTTATAACTATCAATCAAAGCCGTTTTTACATTCTTGTTGTATTAAAGCACTTGGTAACCTCATCTGGGTTTAGAAAGGTGCCATATAAATCAAGTTTATTTATTATTAACTCTGAAAATAATTACGATTATGTATCTTTTTACAGGCAAAGTGAAAGTCTACAACTTCAGAGAGACGGTCCCAAAGTCTTTTGATCGTAACCTGTTAGATGATTGTCCAACCACATTCAGACTGACCACAGGTAGGCAGAATTGTCCATAACATGTACATATTCCTGTATCACAGGTTTCTTATTTGTGCAATGTTTTGTCAACATCAATATTGCATTCAAAGTTCCCATTAACAGTCAAGGCTAGGAAAGACAGGTTTGTTAGCATAGCACATTTCATACTCAATATGTTTTACACAATTTAAAGACAAAAAACAACTGAGCACATAAAAGGACACTATAAGAACAATTTATTTCTTTGTGGATTTTGATCTGATTTGAATTGCCCCTCTGGGTCAAATAAAGTTTTTTTTTAATTGGATTGAATCTGTACATAAGTAGGTACACTAGTAGTGTTTTCTTTTTTTTTCTTTAGAAAATCTCCACATGGTTTATTTCAACAGTCACATGTATCAATCATCAAGAATCTTGCAGTAGAAAATGGAAAAAAAGCATAGACTGCATATTAAGATGGACAGAGAAACAGCCGTCTGTAAGTGAAGCCAGAAGATTTAGAGCTCCCCTGATAGAGCATAGATAGATATAGATATAGAACGTAAACCCTGCCTCCTCTATGTTAACAAATAGGACATGGGTCAAACTATAAAATTAAAATTGCTTCATTTTACTCAAACCCAGTTTCCTCATGATAGTTATTGTCATGCCATTTTTTTGGGGAAAAAGTTTTTCTTAGTTATGGATGCTATAAAATGGTGTTTGATGCCATAATTGACAGCTCTTTTGATAACACTGAGTGCATGGGATTAGCAGAGTATACGCGGAAAACAGTGAGAGAAAACGTGACTAACACCAACACAAGAGCGGTTGAGTTTCCATAATCGTAGGTTTCTGCTTCAAATTGACACATGAATCTGCTCCACTGTGGCCTCTACCTAACAGAGAGATTTTGTGCTGTTTATTGGTAAGTTAACTGTGTGTTTATATCAATACCGTGATTAATCAAGCCGATCCCTACCGGGCAGACTCTGGTGCAGGCTGAGGTGTGCTGTCCATCTTTCTACACAGTCTCTGTAAAATAAAATACATCTCTCTAACAGCATTTTCCAACATGAAAATGAACCATTACAAATATTCAATCTTCATACTGATGATCTCTTCTGTCTTTGTGGGTCATAAGAACACATCAGCAATATTCTCAATCTGTTTCATAGCCTTAAATCCACTCACTAATCATTTTTAAGAACTCATTCTTTGCTATTCTTTTTGTTCCAGACCAATTTCTGATTGTTGTTTCTGTCATTTCTTGATTGCTGCACTCCTCCCCTCCCTGTACGATGTATAGGCACACAGTGGATCGGTGTTCCCGGCGAGCTGCGGGGATATGAAGCTGTCCACAAGCAGTATGGGAAGCTGCCCTGGGCTAAGCTGTTTGAGCCAACTATAAAACTGGCTAGAGAGGGCATCCCTCTGCCTCCATTCCTGGGAAAGCTCCTAACTATCCCCATTGCAAAAAAACATGTGGAAGGTTCCTCCATCTGGTAAAGCATCTTACTGACAATTGAAACATGTTTGATGGTATGTGCCTTTTCGGACCTGTGTGTCAGGGGAGAGACTCAGGAGTAAAGGGCTCTCCTATAAAAATGCATTTTAACTCATTTAATGGTTGTTTTATGAAACCACTGAGAATCTAAGTGTTTGACTTTCAAGAATTTAGATTGCATAATAGTCTCACCGTGATGAAGTGCTCATCTGTTTTCTCAAAGCAATGGATGGCATACTGTGGTTGTTATCATACAATTTCGGGTACAGAAGGTGCTGACCCAGACACAACAGAAATGCAAACCTTTCGTTCAAATATTTTTGAAAATTTGGATTTTCCTTACATTAACATTCTGAAAGAGTACATTTGCATTGATACATTTGATTGATCACATGGGATGAATGTGACAAACGTAAAGATTTACATGAAGTTAATGTCACTCTGAGGTTTACAAATGAGTTCAGGAGTTCATAAATAGTTTGAGTATTACTGAATGTGATCCTGTGTTTCAATATGTTTCAAATGTTATTTCACTTGCATGTGTTTTCCCAGTGAAGTTTTCTGCAACAAGAACAAAACTGTTTTGAGGAACGGAGACATGCTTAAGTTTCCCAAACTTTCCGAAAGCATGCAAATGATTGCTGCACAAGGAGCTAATGCCTTCTACACAGGCAAGATAGGACATGACTTAATCCAAGACATAAAAGCTGCAGGTTAGTGCAATGTTATCAACGATTGGGTAAGATGGGGGTGTATGCTTAAATAGACTGAAAAAAGACAAAAATACTTTATTCGAGAGATAGACCTGCTGTTTTTAAATGATTACATGTTACAATCAGGTGGAACGATGGAACTTGAGGATCTGGAGTCCTTCCGGGTGCGGGTGGAGGACGCTTGGACAGTTCCTCTGGGGGATGCTAAGCTTCACATTCCTCCACCACCTGCTGGAGGCGCCCTGCTGGCCTTCATTCTCAAAGTTCTGGAAGGTTAGAAGATCCCGTAAATTGTAGCAATTTTTTCCCCCTAAATTCTCAATGAGCAAAAACAACAAAATTGTACAGTGAAATACCTTTTCAGATGTTGTTTTATTTTTCTGTTTTTCAGGGTTCTCTTTGACTCCAAACTCTTTTCTTGGGGACCAGAAGGTTCAGACATATCATCGTTTTATAGAGGCAGCCAAATTTGCAAATGGACAAAAGAGAAGCATTCAAGATCCTGCCTTTCATGACAGAAAGGTTATGATTTTACATTTTTAATTCATCCATTTTTCCCAAGTTTTCTGTATATTGCTGATTTTAAGCATCCTTCAAGCTCCTTGTATTGGTTTGATGTCCTAAACTTAAAGCTCTGTTAAAAACGACTGTACGTGGAAAAACTTATTTTAGACTACTTAGCTCCAGAGAACCAGGTAAATATTGGACTTGCAACCAAATAATCAATCAATCACTGCAGATTGTTTTATAACCAAAAACAACATCAGGTACCCCGGGGGTTTAAGGAAAAGTACATTTTTGGAAATATGCCAAAAAAGAGTTGCTTCTACCTTCTTGCCTCTGTTAAATTTGAAGCGTCTCTAGCTGCTGACTAACTAAGATTACAGCAAATATGAAGAGAGGGAAATGACTATCGAGGCTCTGTTTGAATGCCACAAATTCAAACTCCTGCTACCTTTAAAAATCCCCATTAACACTTTTCATGTTTCCGAGAAATGTCTACGCTGTTTTCCATTCTCATGTTGATTTTTCTTTCAGAGTGCCGATCATTTGATTGATCCCGCCTTCATTAGTCGCATCCTGGACATGATTTTTTCAAACCGCACCCATGACAACTCGTACTACTCCAACGTCAAACCCTCACCCGATCACTTTGGGACCACTCATGTGTCGGTGCTGGATGAAGATGGACTGGCTGTCTCTGCCACCAGCACGATAAACCATCTGTAAGCAGGACGCCTTTTCAGGAAAATAGTTTTTATATCAAACCATTTAAACTTTGTTGTGATGGTTATTGCTCAGACTTCTGTGTTGTGTTTTGAAGGTTTGGAGGGGCCGTTTACTCTCCACGTACAGGTATCATCCTCAACAATGAGCTGTCTGACTTTTGTGGGAGAGCAGACAAAGTGACGGCAGGTGAAGTCATTAAAATTACCCCAACATTTCATCATAAGACAACAGATTCAAAGACATGCGCTCATGTATTAATGTTGAAATCTTTCAGCGTGTTATAGTCTGTAATTGTTGTCACAGGTGAGCAGCCTCCTTCCTCGATGACTCCCGTAATACTGGAGTCAAAGTCCGGAGGTCTCCTTGTGATTGGTGGATCAGGCGGGAGTATGATTACCTCAGCAGTCGCCTTGGTAACTAAACTAAACTCTGTTTGTAACTTTAATGACTGATTCTTATTTATTTTCCTTACATGGTTCTCTTTTATTCTTACAGTCTATTATGAATCACCTGTGGTTGGGGATGAATCTCGAAGATGCCATTTCTGAACCTATAGTCTTTATTGACTCTAAGAATGAATTAAATTTTGAGAGGTTTAATGAGGTGAGTTGCTGCTTTTTTCATCCTTACTGCCAATCAGTGACATTGAAATGTATTACACTCTAATGAGTAACATTATGTTAATGAGTTTTGATGGAGATTAACGAGACATAATCCTAAAAAATCCCATTTAATTTGCCATTTTGCAATCTAAGTGTGAAAGGAGAAGTGGTAATGTTCACTGTTTTTGTGTGTCCTCAGTCTGTGAAGGCTGGACTCATGGCTCTCGGACACAATCTAGGGAGCTCCCAATTTTTCGTCAATGTGGTAAATGCTGTGGAAAAGGAGAACGGATGCATTGTGGCCGTGTCTGACACCAGGAAGATGGGAATGTCAGATGGTTATTGACCAAATATTGGTGAGGAAGCACCACCCTCCACTTCAACCCCCCGCCCCCTAAAGACTGACTGAACCGTTAGCCTTAATGGAAATACTGAATGTGTAAAAATCCAACCACCAAATGTTGGCATTTTGGTGCTCGTTGGTAGTCCAGGTAGCTTCAAGCTTAAAGTATCATTTTGATTTATTATAATAAAAGTCTAGTTTTCATAGATTTTGACACCATTTCTATCAAGAACAAACAACTGTAGTCACCATTTACCCTTTAAAATCTTTGAGGGAGCCACAAGTTTATGAAATTGTTCATAAAAATTAAGCGCACATATTTTTTCCAACCCCGAGACAAGTTGGGGAAACAATGGTGTTCTATCTTCTAAGTCTACAGATTTAATTGTGAGCAGCCCGAGGAAAACGGTTGGATAAAAGTTATTTACAAGGTGATACTTTATAAGGACTTTTCTCTACACCCAATACTAAATGCACATTTTTTAAAAAGAATTAAGAAAAAATAAATAATAGACACATTACAATAAGGCACACACATTTTGCAGAGTTACTAGGGAACAAATGAGGAAGTAGAAGAAGATACACTTTATTAATCCCGCAAGGGGAAATTCAATTTTACACTCTGTTGTTGAACATGCTACACACATTGGCTGAAACACACACACACACACACACACACACACACACACACACACACATGCACAAGCACAAGCATGGACATGCACTAATGGAGAGATGTCAGAGTGAGGGGTATGCCCACAGCGAGCACTCGTGAGCTGGTGAGAGGGTTGCCTTGCTTAAGAGCACACTGGCAGTGCTCAGGAAGTGAACTGGCACCTCTCCAGCTACCAGACCAATATCCCGACTTTGTCCGCCCCGGGACTTGAATCGGCGACCTTCCAGCTCCCAACCCAAGTCCCTGCAGACTTAGCTACTGCCGCCTCCAACGTTTAGCTAACAGTTGATAGTAAGTAACTCCTCATCACATTATAGAGTAGCTTATAATTACTGAACAGAGATCGAATGCTAGATAAGGTATACACAAAACTTTGCATGCTTACTAGGGAACGAATAAGGAACTACTGTGAAACATTTTGTGTACCATATTTACCTGTTAACTAATTGTTAACTAGTAGTTAGTTCCTCATTTGTTCCCCAGTAACTACGTGAAATCTGTGTACAACATTGTAAAGTGTTACCAAATAATCATTATTTACAAAGAAAAACTTTGCAAACTAACTATTAAAGAAGTCAATAGTTTTAATCCCAACAGAGATTTTGATTAATGAGCGTAGTACTTAAATGTAACTTTTTGCAAAGTGTTCAACTGCATTTCCTAGTCTGAGTTTGCTCACTTGTCATCATTGTCAACATCTGGATAGGCTTGTGGCTTTGCTTTCATTCTTTTTTCCAGAATTGGGATAATTCCTAACATTCGCCCCCATTGTAAGCAAAATAAGTTTGAGCAGTTTTTAGACCTTTGAAAAGCTTTTTTATTCTCTAACATTCAGGTTTCTTGCCCTGTTAATGTGATAGTAGAAATTATGTCCATTTAGCTGTTATGACCACTTTATATAAACACACTTTAAGTCCAGCCAGTTGGTATGCACACATATACTATAATAATGTTATATCCTGTGAATCGTGAAGACGCACAGTCAACGCACCATGAAGCGCCATGAGGTCTGCTTATATGTGCTGTAGAGTTTCAAACTTTAATCCAAAGTTTAATGTTTCGGCAGAATGAGCCATGAAAGAAAATCTACTGATGTTAAAAAAAAAAAAAAAAGCATGTTTTCATGTACGACTGAATTTGATTCTTTGTATGAACTTTTTTTTAATGTGATTGAGCCATGTGCCTTTACAACATGACACCCTGACTGACATGTGAATGGAAAACAGGGAACTTTTACGCTGACCTTTAAGATATTAGTTTGGTTCAAATGTGTTATGTTTAAATTGACAGAAAAACTTTATTTACATTTAACAGTTATATAGAAAGAAGATTTTTTTATTACCATTTACATATATATATTTGTATTTTGATAAGACGTTGTGTTTTGTGAATTCATTAATTTTTGTTACAACAATTAACTGTGAATATCTGTGTTGTCGTAATAAAACAAAGAGTTCGAACAAAGACGAGCTGCCTGACTCTTTAAACAAAACACCTCCAATACACTTTTCATTGTACAACAACACTTGTTTAAACATTTATCCTTTATTGTTAGCATATGATAAGCAATAATCTGCATCATGTTTTCCCGTTTGCCCTGGTTCAAAGCAGCACTTGTGCTCTACAACAAAGGAAGCAGTAATGAGATACATTTCAGAAGAAGGACTTATGAATTAGTAATGATTTCTTAAGTGGATTCTGCTGCGTTTTCCTTTGAGGCACAGGATCTGAGTTATGAGAACATGTAAATTTGTGTCTGTGTGAAGCACCACTGTCTTTTTCTGTATGACAAATGAGTTAATCTGGATAAGTTGTAACTTCATATCGGGTGTCGTGGCATTAACGGCCTTTCAAAATAAGGATCATTTTACACTGTGAAGAAAACGTCTGATTTAAAGAAGAAGCGGTTCAATAATCCTCTGATGACTCTTGTTCTCAGTCACATATTCCCATGATGAAGCAAACAACCTACACTGTACTTACGTAATGGTAGTCTACACGTTTTATTTTTTGTAACATTCATAATGCCATGCAAGGAAGCCGGTTGAATTACAACTTGAGCTTTTGCATATGCCCAAAGGGTGTGTGAATTGGCCTCGAAGTTACATAATACCAACACTCATTATGTGAAAGTGAGGCCGCGCTTAATTGGGCCTTAAAGCAAAATTCCGGTGTGACTTGCTCATTTTTGCTTTCTCCGACTCCATGAAAATAATTGCATCACACAAGGTGGCGATATTTTTTGCAGAGATTCCCAGGCGACCAAGGCTGTACTCAGACTTCAGTAGACGAAAAACAAAATCAGACTGATTAAAAAATCTGGTTGCATCATACACATAAAAAAAACATATTGGGTATTTTTCTCTCTAATCTCAAACATAAGACCCCCACAGATTATCATTAAGACTATTGCGTGTTCCGTAGGGAGCAACATACCACCTCAAATGACCTCATTTGATCTCATAGTAAGGTAGATGTAAAGAAATAAAGCAGAGACTGACCACAACTTTCTCTAGAAACCTTCAGCAGTGAGAAGTAAAACTTCAAAAGCAGAATCCTTAGCAAAATATGAATAACAAAATGTTTTGGGAAACACAATGAGCAAAGGCTCCTACTCTCTGGGAAGGATTGTAGAAGGGATTTGTTTGTGCTAGCTAACATTAGCTGCAGCTGTTTGAATGTTTACGGTTGGCTTGGAAAGCATTGATTGTATTATTCAGACTAAATTTTTTTTATACAGCTCTGATGAATCCTTGAACAGTTGAGGAGGTTTCAATTCTGACATGTAAAGCCCATTCCTCTCACTAAATAAAATACAGGAATTGGGAGTTACTCCAAAAGGGGCCAAAATTAATTTTAACATAACATGCTGTTGACAAAAATATTTTTATATAGATAATTTGTGCACCTTTTTTTTTTAAATATCACATGGCTGTAAAATCTGCTGTTAAATTAAACACAGGCCTATATGGGGATTGCCTCAATTTGGAGCCAGTATCAAGTGGCCATTATAGGAACTGCACTTTTTGGCACTTCAGTGCTTGCTTTACTTTTTACCCCAGAGGTTGCTGCTTGCATGAGCTTAACCGCGGAGAAATTATATTAGGTGTTAGGATAATTGTCGTGCGATACACCTGAATAAACCTAGATGTAACCAGTTAGCTAGCAGCCTTATTAATGAGTCAGTTATAATGAAACATGTTGACACAACTTAATGTTCTTTCTATTTGCAACATATTATTTTCATGAAGATATTTTACCCATGGAAAGCTCTATGTCAGTTGAGATGACCAAACAGGTCAGTCCACCACTTTGGTCCGGACTAGAATACTAAGGAAACTTTTTGATAATAAGCTAGTTGATATAATAAGACACTTTTTGGCAAATATTCTACAATCGCTCTTTAGTGAATCTTTGACCTTTTATCTAGACCAACATCAGGTTGCATTTGTTTATTTGTCTAATACTTTGGTTAATGACATAATACCTACAAAACTTTGATACTCCCATAGTTGTACACTATGTCCAGAGCTAACTAATACATGTTAGCATACCAAGGTTAACAGAAATATTTATACCCAAGATACATAAACAATAAGCTTTGCACATAACTTTAAAAAAAGCATACAATATAGCTGCTTAAGCCTGTTAACATTTTCTTTGTGAGCATGTTAGCATGCTATCATTAGCATTAGTAAATAACAAGCTTTTGCAAGCTACTTTGTAAAAATCCTCCTTTTTTTTAGTAATAAATCTCCTTAAAGACTTTTTGCATGTGTGTTTAATTTTCACAGTATGATCATTTCAAGTGTTTCTTTAAAAAATACATCAATAATATCTACAATAGCAACTGTAATTTTATAAAAGCAGTCAGAACATTAATGCTGGTAATTCAAAAAATGGATGCATTCACTCAGAGATTTTTAGTGTGTTTAAAATAAATATATCTATAGTGTGAATGTTAAACCAGTTGTCTCTCAACATTTCAATCACTTGGGAACCATTCATCCATAGCAAACGAGTTATAAAAGCATCATTATTTGACACAGATTTACATTTCGTGAATTATGTAACACATTTACATTCCAGCTGAGAGAAGATGAGCCCTGAATCCCAGCAGTGACAGTGAGCAGCAACAGCTGTAATGTTGTTATGGGGTCATTATAGGCCATTGCACTGTGAGTTGTGGGAAATTACTGTAAGTCATTATGTGGGAGTGCTGTTCCCTGAGGTGTTATAGACCTTTATTTGGACAACAGCTCCTGTCTGCTCCCTCTCTTCTCTCTGTGTACTGTCACCATATATGATCCTTGTATAATATTTTTAACTTCTAAATGAAAGTCATTTGATCTATGGGGTTTCTTTGCTTGAGTTGTTTTTACATACAGTTGATATTTCTACATTAGGAGTAACTGTAGATGCTGCGTGTCGGATCGTTAATGGACAACAAAAGGAAGTGGCTCTACATTGCTGATGATTTACCAAACACGCTTCTTATAACATCCAAGAATTGTGAGTACAGTGTTTCCTCATTGACAGTAACACGATTTACAATTTGCAATTCATGTTGTTTTGCCTCAATTTAAAATTCCAAGACTGAATGATGGAAACCTGTAAAATCTCATATCTTATGCGTCATTTTAGTACAATGGTGTGAAATATATTTGTAATGATTTAAGAGTATATATTCAAAACTTATTTCAGACAAAACTGAACAACAGTGAGGCACTTTTGTTTGGAAGATCAAATCAATAAGACAGAGCTGAGTCATGTGGAGTACATGAATGTTTTTGCAAACTTAATGAGAGAACAATAGGTCACCAGTGGGCTGACAATGGTACCTGGTTCTTTAGCCTCTTATCTCACAGCTCTTACCCAGGGTGTCAAAGTTCACACAGCTCCGGTCTTTCTGTGTGATCAGCAATTCTATTTCGACTTCAGTAGCCCGCGGCATACCCACCCTTG